GCATATGCAACACCTATGCAATTTGAATGTGCGTGGATGCGTATATCTGGAAAAGTTCTTGACGGCGTTCAAAGGGAGTGCCATTTTCATGTTCAGGAGGTCAAGGAGCATCATTCCTGAGATTTTGAACGGAATCGGAGGGGTCCGCCGAACGTCCATATGCAACACCTATGTAATTTGAATGTGCATGGATGCGTATATCTGGAAAAGTTCTTGACGGCGTTCAAAGGAAGTACCATTTTCATGTTCAGGAGGTCAAGGAGCTTCATTCCTGAGATTTTGAACGATATCGGAGGGGTCCGACCATGTCCGACAAATTTGCTTTATGTGTGGCAAATTCGAATATCCCTTGTATTTAACTGTTAGCTGTATGAAAGAGGTTTTGACGCTTTTTTACATTTTGGTACAGCAACGCCCCTTGGATTTCAGTATATTGTCTTTGTAGGAGGAAGTGCGAATGTCCATCATAAATATAAAGCTGTCACGTGTCAAATAGCGTCAAAAGGTGAGAAAAGGTACATGACCTTGAACGACCTTGAACTTTAGATGCTCATCCTGAGAAAACTATTGGACGGCGTTAAGTACAAATTAGTTTTTTGAGATCAGCGCTTTTGTTTACATCAACTCAGGAGTTTTTGAAAAATTTGGAGGGGTCCGATTTTTCCAATAAGGGTTACGGTCCAGAATATGTTAGCAGTAATACAAATGTGAATATTTTGAGAACCACTTGACGGCGTGAAATAAAAACATGATTTTCGCAATCAGGAGCTCAAAATCTATAAGCTGTGAAATTTTGAGCCAAATCTGAGGGGTCCGCGAATGTGCACGCGAATCTGAATGTGAATATAATGCAACTTTATGCACGTCTTCACCTGAGTAAAGTAATCTTGCTTCACCTACCTATGCTTAGAACTACTGGATTCGACGGTTGATCAAATGTCTGTTTTTTAACCCGCGCCCGGCTGGGGGTCCTGGATTTCCACGCCCTGCTGGGGGGGGGGGGGGTGTTTGAACACCCCCCTTCTAACTCGGCTCCTGGACCACGTAGCGATACGCGGAAGGCGGCGTTCGAAAGAGCGCCAAAAATAATGAGGACATCACTTCGGTCGCTTTTTTGGTCAGGTAAAAGGTCAGGTCACCAGAGGTCATTGAAGGCAAAATTTCGCCGATTTCCAGGTCGAATGTCGACAATTTCCAAGAAGCCACTGCCAACGCATAGCTCGGGAACCAATAGAGCTACAGCGCCACGGAAAAGCGTATTCGATAGCCCTATTAACGCCCTTTCTGAGTAATTCTCTCAGATTTGACCTAACGTCAACGGTTTTGCCTGCAGGGGGCAAAAACTGCCAAAATAGACGATTTTTCGGGAACAGTTTTTCTGCAATAACTTTTGACTCAAGCCTTGCACGAGCATTCTTTTACCGACATCGTGTTCCTCTTGTCAAGACGCATCGAATGAACTATAATTTGACATTGAAAGTTCAACTTAAAAATTTGACCTCTGGTCAAGGTCATGATTTGACCGGACATTGTCATGTTGCATATTAGTGGATCTGTATCGTCGAGCTGAACATATATATAAGGCGTTTTCATCGCTCTAGCATGCCTCTTTCAAAAGTTAGTCGCAAAAAACTGTTAGATACCATTCGTGACCTGAGATGACCTTAGGGGCATAAACAGGGGTCACGGGTGCCGTTTTCATGTTCAGTGTGTCAAAGTTACTTGTAATTTAGTGTTTGAGAGTGTTTAGAATGACTTTTGTCCGAAAAAGACGGTTTTGAATTTTCTCCCATTGACTTATAATACCTAGAGAGGTCGCAAAATTGACCCGACCTTAGGTCACCGATATGAAAATTCCGAATTTTGTACATACTGTTGCAATTATCAATTGCTGAAAGCTTCAAAGCGATCCGTCACTTGGTGTAGCTGTGTAGCTATGGCATACATTGAAACATTTTATGATGTGTTTATGAGGTGAGGTCACATGTAGCGACCTGGTGACCTGACCTTGAAGGACCCTGGTCTGAAATTTTCACAAAATGTATAAAATTGATAGATGATAAGGTGCCGCCGTTTTTCAGATATCCACGAAAAACCGCAGGGGGTGTTCAAAAACCTCCCCCCCCCCCCTCCCAGCAGGGCGCGGGTTAACACACTTTGACCATTTGCCCCAGTAGTCAAAATTCCTTAGCCGAGGCCCTGATTTACCTACATCTTGCTGTCATGGCAAGATGCACAATTCAGTTTTAGGCAGGCATTGAAAATTTGACGTTAATGGGATGACAAGGGCGTAAGATATCTGCGAAAAACAAGGGGTTGGCGAAATTCGCCCCCCCCCCCCCCGCTTGCACTGTGCGTGTTGGTTGGCACGGTCCTGTCCCTTTTCATAAGGTTCAGGTGGCATCCTTCACCAATATTTTTGGCGCTCCTACACCCATGAATTGATAACCTAACAAGCGGGATATTGGGAGCGGGCTGTTGTAATTGCTATTGGCCAGTATCGAAATTCGCAATTGTGGGACGCAGTGGTCCAAATTTCGCGAGGACTACGTCCCAAAGGCAGGGGGCTGCAGTCAGTGTGTTAACATACAGTGGCGCGGGAACCGGGGGGGGGGGGGGGCTAGCGGGGGCTGAGCCCCTCCAACTTTTCGGCTGGGGCCTGGGGGGCTCGTAATGTATTTGAGCCCCCCCCCCCCCCCAGCTGGAGGAATCAAAATCGGAAATCTACCAACATAATTTCATAGATTCATACATAGGTGCGGGAACCGGGGAAGGGGACAGTGGGGGAAACTTGCCCCCACAATTCTACGGCCGTGGGGGCGGCGCCCCACAACAACTTTTCATGAGGCTAGGAACCGTTGGGCAGCTTGTCCTCCCCAAATTAGGGGTTGTGGGTCACAAAGGGAAGAAAGCATGTAAGTGAAAAATCCACCTCTTTCACTGGCTCGGCAACTCATTTGGCAGATTAAAAACCTTTATTCCAGGTTGCCAAAACGGTAGTTTCTTCACTCAGCTGAGACGGAATACCTCACTTTTTTGCAAATATTTTCTCTTTTTTTTCGTTGAAAAGGCCAAGGTCTGAAAAATAAGTGGCCTAAAACCGGTGAGAAAACTAGATTTGGGGGTACCCTAGGTTGATCTCTATTATGGTTCAGCCCCCCCCCCCCCCCAGTCTGGAAGAAGTTCCCGCGCCACTGTTAAAATATGCCCTGGTGGCGACGCGACGGCGGCGACTGAGGCCATCGCCATGTAAATCGTGGCACTAGCGACATCTTGCAACGCAGCCACTACCGTGACGTTCGAAAAAAAAAAATCCTCCAGCCGACTCGCCTATACAATTTTCGAACATTATCGAACATGGTGATCTCGAGTGAACTTGGTGGTCTCAAGGGGTCGCGCTCGCGAAGCTCTAGACCAAATTTGCTGGCTGGGCTGGGTCGTATCTGGCTTTACTCTGGCTAGCTCTGGCACTTACTCCGGCCAGTGTTTTTATATACCTTTCTCCGGCCGAAGTACGGGCAAGGTCTGGAGGCTGGAGCTCTACTGGAGCTGACACACGATCCCAGATCTCGCCCGCACCACAGCCGGACTTATTTGGATCAGCCGTACCGTGCCTCAACCGTACTTCAGTCACAGTAAGCTCTGAGCTATACGAGGCAGCCGGACCCGGCCGTATAGCACGCCGTGGCAGGGGGCCGGACTTCAGCCGGACTTGGCGGTCCGAAACTATATTTCTAACGTTTCGAATATGGTGAACTTAAGTGACCACAGTGACTTTGGAAGGTCAACTTTGGAATGGAAGGCACCTTGGCCTTGGATCTGTAGGATAGCTGGCATAGGTCAAAACGCTAAGTCCCAAGTCGACCCATCGACGTCGAAATAAAGGCCTTCGTAAAGAGTATGCCTGCTACCTAGCATTGTCGCTTTGGTTTCTTCAAGCTCTTTATTTACAGGCTAAACGTGAGGTCAGACGTACGACATAACCCCAGCCTTTTGTCTTCGAGGATGGCACAATGATAATGGTTACGCAGTGGTTATCAGTCAGCAGGATTTTCCATTTCCCCTTATACGAGTACGAAGAGCAAGTGACTGCGACATCCTGGTGCGGTGACCTCTCCGCTCGTGGCTGTCCACCTCCCCCTCCCTCCCTCCGTTCAACGCGTGCGACGTGCCGAGCCGACGTGCCGTCCCGGATGACCCTTCAGCTGCTCGAGCCGGACCTCTTGAACGGCTGGCCGCTCGGGCTGCGGGCGACGCGGACAGAGGCGACTGGCTGGCCCTGCAGCTGACTGAGACTCTGTAGCTGAGTCCTTTGGAGCGATATTCGGAATAATGCTGACTAGTGTATGAGATACTGAAAAACTAACAGCACGAGTACCTATCGTGGTACTAACACTAACGATAGAGGAGGGAAGGAAGGCCTCCAGGCTCCAATCAGGCCAAAAGACTGTCGTTTACTCTCTGGCCCGAGTCATAGTAATTAGTTGGCCTTCCTATCTGTAACCATAATAAACAGGACGGTTCTATTGAAAGTTTTCTAGATTTTCGCGAGGTTTGGGTTACGAAGCTTGTGGCGCAACATTAGGTACGTTTCATTCAGCATCGTGTTTCTTTTGCCGATGCCACGTCAGTCGTAAAATAAACTCTAGGTTTAGATACCTATGTAAATTTAGCTTTCAAGATCACCTTGAAAATTTGACCTATCGAGGCCATTGCCTGACCGGAAAAGGTCACTTTGCATATCAGCTGATCCGTATCGCTGAGCTGAACCCGCCACAGGTTCCATCTCTCTGGTACCTTTTAAATTACTAATGAAGAGCATTTAAACGTAGGTATAGTTGTTCGCGAGCTCAAGTTAAAACGAATGATGCAGTACCTATAACGACCGTCCTTCGTGATCGCAGCTGTAGACGTTAAAAAAGATACTTGAATTGAAAACAATAATGTAAGCCGCTCCATTGAACTCAGATATCCATGCAATGCATCAAAAACACAATGTCTTTGGATTTGTTTATTTTGATAGAGAAAATGTACACATAAGACAGTAAGCATAAGTAACGCCGTGCAGCGCAATGCGAGACCTGTCGCGTGCATCCGAGAGATGTCTCAGCTGAACGCGACGGGGACGGTCGGACTCCAGGACCACTCGGAGGGGCGACAACTCAGCATCCCTCCCCTTCCCTCCCCTACACCGGCAGCCTGGGCAGCTACGAAACGAAGGGAATCGAATGGGAAAAACAGTGACATGAAATAGTAAAAGTTTTGAATGCAGCTTGATCAAAACGTCTAGGGTTGACATTTGTTCTTTGCGCCCGAGCCGTATGACGTAGGTACTTGATTGGAGACTAGAGCCCATGGCGTTAATGTAGGTTTTCGTGGTTCTACATATGGTTCACCTGCATTCGAGGGATGTTTTATTTTAACCTTGGAACGGGACAATAACAGAAATGGGCGCCACAATCGATCTGGCATGTCGATTTAAGTTGATGGGTTCGTGCCAACCTCCTCGGACGTACAAGGGTTGAGAGCATTCCGTCGGAGTATCTCGAGGGAACAGTGCGGGTCGGATGGCTGAGAGGTTTCCATCCACGGGCCTCCGAGGATGGTACTGGCGCAGATCACCGCAAGGACTCCTAAAGGAAAATGTTGGTAAATAGAGAAAGATACGAATCGGCATAAAGTACACCGTCTTGGGAAAAATGCCAGCTTCACTGTTTTCTATTGTCTCGAACAAGTCAGAGGCGATCAGCATGTCGCGAAATGATTTGTGACCTAATCAGTACAAGCCAATCGTCAAAATTCGTACTACATAACATAATATATAGACGTCACAAAAAGAAGTCATTTCCTTCGACACATGTGGGGCGCCTCCATACATTTCACTATACGGGTCCGCGATAGTCCAAAGGACAGCAATAGGGAAGAGATGAGGAGAGACAAGGAGGTGTGGGCCGTCCTGTAGCGGTGAGCACTCGTCGCTCGTTTGGCCGTAGGGCCCGGCCGCCCACTAGATCAGTGTCCCAGGGGCGTCGTGCGGAGCCCTTTCACCCCGACCGCGCGCCATCCCATTAAGTTTATCGGTGGAGCGACAAGCTGCAATAGCGGACGGTTCCATTCGGTGGGTCGTTTGGCGCGTCCTGGCACGGGCCGGGTGCGACGACGGACGGCCGATCGTCCTGCTTCGAGCGACGGTGGTCGTGCGAGGACGTTCGACGGCCCTTCGCAGAGGAATAGCGGTTCGGCGCCACTTCCAGACCGTATTATACCTTATCGGCCGCTGAACGTAGCAGCGCATTACAGAGTGGGACCAAATATTGACAAGTGACTGCATGAAGTTTTATTCCCACGGCAGCCTGGGCTGAACGAAACTGAAAGTCACCTTCCACCGCTAAAATCGTATGTAGTTTGTAATAATTGTGTATGCTGCTATGGTTTGGTTACGTCGTCAGTCTGAACTAGTAATGTCAATTACGGAAAATCGGAATACCGATACCAAACCAAATACCAACCAAAACCACGGGAAAATACCGAAACCAAACCAACTTGGGAAACTGAGGGAAAACCAACTTTTTACCGATTTCTTAGCCTCTTATACATTAGTGAGGGCTTATGATACCAACAAAATACCAAACACATTACGATTGAAATACCAAATACCAAGTTGGTATCGGTTTGGTATCGGTATACCAAAAAGTTGGTATCCGATTGACGTCTCTAGTCTGAACCGTTGCAGCGTTTACGCTGCTCATCATAAGTGCTGAAGGTCATTGGAGCTGACGGGAAACAGCATGCTTCAAGTACCAAAGCTGCCCTTTATGTGGCTGGAGCAACCCAATTAGTGGCTCAGAAGGAGCCTGTCACCGGCCAACTCTCGGGATTTAACTACTGACACCGGGACACTCGGCAGCGCGGCAAACTGGCAGACAGACTGCTACCGAACTGCCACAAACCATAGGGGAGTTTCCTGCTGCAGCTCGGCCGTCAAACGAACTGCTGCAGAGCAATTAACGGCCGAACCGCCGCCACCCGGCTGATAGGCAAACTGCTGCAGTGCAGACGGGTGGTACGATTGAGATGAGTATCCGTATTTCTTATCGCCGGACGCGCAGTGCCGCCTGCGGTCTCACCGTGCACGTGCCACCCGAGCCTCGGTCAGGTCAGGGAGGGACACGCGGATAACAATGGAATGACTTACACAGCTCCACAGAGCGAGACGCACGCAAATCCTGAGGTGTGGGCGAGCCGCTGCCGGCCGGTATCAAAAGGGAGCGCCCTGCGAGCCGAGCTCGAGGGTCCCGGCGGGCCGGACGGACACGCCCGAACACCCTGGCTGGCCGCGGCGCCGGCTGGTATAGGAAAACGTGCACACGGTGGCCCGGGGTGCGGTCGCAGCGGCCAGCTCGCACCCTCGGATGTATGTATGTACACATGCGAGAGTTCTCAGCCAGGGACGCCGCGCTCGGCGGGTTGGGGCCGATACTAACAACAACCTATAACCGCTAGGACCTATCCACCACCGTAAACATATAAAATAACTCGTTCTTCATGCACGCGCGGGATCACCGGAGTGTTGGCTATGGTGTACACCAGGGCAACATGAGGAGACCATTCTCACAGCGGACACCGGCGTGCCGCCACTCAGACTGGCTGGCCAGGAACAACGGGAAAGAAGGCCAACGGCGCCACCACACTACACTATACTCTGGAAACAGTCGTCAAAGAGACACGCTTGAGAAATATAGAATCACAGCTCGAGCCGGTAATCTCAGCGGCGGCATGCCCCCGGGGTGTAGCGTATCGGTCGTCGGGCCCCTGGAAGACGCCCGGTGTCTCGATCGCTTCCCGAACAGCTTAGGGCATATGCAGGGAGCCTCTCTGCCGGCCTCGCCTCCCTCCCTCCCTTACTCCGCCATGGCACCAGGATTCCGTTCCAGCCCGTTCCAGCTCTCACAGAGGGCCTGTAACTCACTCGCAGGTCACTCACAGGATCAGGACCATCATCCCATTCCATAATACCGTAGGACCTGCCACTCACACCCGACCGAGGCAGTGGATGACGGCAGGCGCCCATCGCACTGAACGTTCTGGCCGTATCCACTACTTCGTCCTCATCCTGTCTTCATTGGGCTCCGATCTTACGGCGGCTATACGGTCGCAGACTTTCGATCGGACTCGTCTGCTCCGGCCCTAAGCGGGAACGGTTTGAGCACACAGTGCTCGTACCGCCTCACCAAAATACGGCGACCCTCAGCTTCCGCACGTCCGCCCTCACGCTCTAGGTTCTCTCTTGGCACTGAGGCGTCGCGCCTCGGCCTGGCTCCAGCTGTCGGCTACGTGGTGCCTCTGCCCTCCTACAGTGTCGAGATGCGCATGCAGGTGGCGGCTGGTGCGGTGGTGTCCCCGGAGTCGGCCCCGTCCCGCTCGGAGCCCGCAGACTGGGAGATGGTGGCCAGCGGCGCGGCCGGAGACGGAGGCGCGTTCAGCTGCACCCGCTGCTGGCCGGTGGGCGTGTTCTTCTCCAGGTGACCGATCTGGATCTCCCGCAGCTCCTCCTCGTGGCCGTTCTCCACGTTGTGGTACAAGTTCTGAAAGGAAGAGATGACATTCAGTATCTGTGGCTGATGCTGCTGGAGACTAGGCAGGGAGGGAGACGAGAGCAAGAGACACAAAGAAAGAGAGATATAAGAAAAGAGCAGAGCAGAGAAGAAAAGAGGAACGAAGAAAATGAAGAAGAAAAGAGGGGAGGAGAGGATACGAAAAAAAAGAAAGGGAAGTAATTGCCAGTGAGTTGAAGTTATGCTCGTCTGGATAATACAAGTGGTTCGCTTGAGATAAAACAAAAGAAAATATAGCCTGTGATGTCTCAATGGACGGACTAAGCGGGATACTAAGCTCTAAAAGTTCCTTACGGGAGGACCGGCCAACGAAATTAGCGGCTAGACGAATGGACAGACCCCTGTTAGCTGACCAAGCAAATCAATAAACGGAGGACGGGCGAATCCTGAAATGCTGACTGAAGCAAAACAGAACTTCCGAGACTTGAACGCTGGGAAAGCAGGAAGATGCTCCGAAAATCATTACAGGACAGAAAATCGGACATCACGAGACAGCGCAGACAAAGTAGTAAATTTTACACACCATCTGGAGACAATAAATTAGCGGGACGTATGACAATAAATAAGCGGGACGCACATAGCGATGCTTTGAGCTGATGTTCAAAGCCTCGCCCGTGTTTTGGCTGTACGGTGACTGGAGCTTGGGTGTCATCTCACCTGTTTGGCGTCTTTCTTGGCTCGCCGGTTGCGCTGTGGCCGGCAGCAGGAGGGCAGCAGGTGGTGGCTGGGCGAGGGCGACCGAGACCGGTCAGCGCTGGCGCCGGCCGGCCGCTGAGGCTGTCCGTTGAACGGCACGTCCGTGACGAACTTGCGGTCCTGCCGAAGAAGTGCGCGATGGTCAAACAGCGCCGCCACTTCTCATACGGCTCAGTGGCGCCACATGTTGCAGAAGCTGCATTTAGTTAATTCTCTTAGTCACCGGCAGGTCTGTTATTTGGAGGATTTTGAAACTGAGGTTCCTTAATTAAACAGCGTTCTCAATGGTTCTAACTCTCTACTTATAATTCTCTTACGAAAATAATCCATGCATGAAACTGCCACCAATGAATATTTTACGAATTAAAACTGCAGTTCGGGTTCACCTTCGCGAGGGCGGGCACCGGCACCTGTCACTGGCAGGGCTCGTTTCAAAGTGGTCAGACACTTTGACTCAGGATTGATTTAATTCAGCTATTTAATTGAGCCAGCCGGTTTAATTGAGCCAACGTGCTGTCCTGTTCACTTCTCTTCCTGTCTGCCTTAATATCACTTCCTTGGAAATGTTCGTGGCACGGACACGATTCCCTGTTCGGATTTCTGCGAAAAGGCCGGTCTCTGATCTCTGGATTGTCCCGTCCTCCCCTGTCCCTGCTGCAGCTCGGTGTCCAGCGAGCCGCACTGCCGGCCTCCGGTCACCGGTCCCGCATTGTGTCGGCTGCCGGTGCCGACGCGGCACGGCCCCGATAGGACCGGCCGGCTCGGTGGCACGCACGGGCCGCTCTCCAGCGGCGCCAGCTGCTACCCGGGGCCTTGGCTGCCGAAATTTAATAAGCCGTCGCGGCGGCAGCTGCGAGTCCGACCGCCGCGCGCCGGGTCGGCCCGGCCCACTCCAGAGAAAACTGTGAGTTGCGAGCCTCGAGCAGGCGCGCCAGCCTCTGCATCGATCGCTCTGTGGCTGCCCCGCAGCACTCGGCGACCCTGGCTCACAGACTACAGGAGCGGCCCACGACCCCAACGCGCAAACAGACACCTTGAGAGAGACGAGACCCTGGCTAACAGACAGACCACGGGAGTGGTTCGAAACCCTGACTCACGTCCGAGCCGAGACCCCGGCTCACCGACAGACCCCGAGAGTGGTCTGAGATCCTGGCTCATAGACAGCTACTAGGGGCGGCCCGCGACCCCAGGTCACAGACAGATGCTATAAGGAGCGGGACGGAACCCTGGCTAACAGACGGACAGGCCGGGTGATCGTGGCTCACCGACGTCGGAGCGTTCCGCAAACCTGGCTTACCGATATACACTCCAACAGCCCATGTATTTGTAATACGAGCATGGGCATGCTTACGAGCTAATTCTTAATGTTTTAATGTTAATTAGCTTAACTAACGTTTAACATCCCTCGCCCCGTTGGGAGAGGGAGGCAATATGGCCCCCTGTGTTTTTCTTAAATAGCAAGAAAACGGCGGCGCGCAGCGACACCAAATTTTCAGCACCCTTTAAGACATCAATTTGACACCTTCATACACAATTTCAAGTCATAGATCACCCTAAGTCAGGAGTTATTGAGGTCAAACTGAGGTCATGTTCGAGCAAAAATGAGTAAAAAACATGAAATCTTGAAACGCTCACAAAAGCTACAGTTAACAAGCAATTTCAAAGTTCTTTATGTGGTCGTGTAGAAAAGGGACGGCGCTACGCAGCTGCTATCTCAGATTTTCAAAGTTTTGTGATTTTGGCCCAAAAAAAAATGATTTTCAAAATAAAATAGTGAAAATATCCCAATTTTTTTTTTGGGGGGGAATTTCGAAAAACGGAATACATATGGTATTCCTTCACCTATTCTATCTACATACCAAATTCTATATCGATATACCTCCTTTTTAACCAAGTTATAGCAAAAAAGCTGTTCAAAATTAATGACGTCAAATTTTTGAACTCAATTCTTAGCAATTCTGACCACGTAGCACAAAAAAAAAGATCACCATTACACTCCACATAACGAGCAAAACGATATTCATTTTATGCAAAAATATTAGGTTTGAAATTTGACCTAATTTGACCCAGGCACGTATCCAGGATTTCGCTCAGGGGGGGGGGCCAAGATTACTTTACTACGGGGGGGCGACAGCTGAGAAGGGCCCGGAGGTCAGCTAAAAGGGGCCCCACAGCGACTGCCTATCCTGGTGTGAAAAAAAATCAAGAATGCCGAAAAACAGTAAATTTACGATAGAATTCGACCTGTTGTAAATGAAAATGCATTGTCTTGCGTTTTTTTTTTTACCTTGATAAAATGTTTGCAGTTAACTTCCGTAGAAGTTCGTTTTTGCAGCTCACTTCCGTTGAAGTTCGACGTTCTGAACATTATGAACAGTTAGTTATTAATCGTGACTCGTGCTAATATTACCTCTTTACACCCCACTGACTTTTTCACCGGTTGCGTTTATTCATGACATTGGAAGCAGCATCAGCCTTCAGCAAGCATGATAATGTACAGGGGTGTAATTTTACATCTCCTTGTGGGGGCAGATGCACCCACAATCCTGAAATATGCCCCCACAATGATGAAAATGCACCCACAAGTCTTATGTCACAAGCGCCCTTTCGAGAGCACGGCGCCCTTCGCATGCTCTAACGGCGTCCTCCTGACCGCCTCGCGTTCCTGGATAGTATAGCGTTTTTAATCACTCGGCGCCCTTCTGGGAGAATGGCGCCCTTTTGACAGCACTGCACCCTTCTCATGGTCTAACGGCGCCCTCCTGACCGTCTCGCGCCCTTATGTCTCTGTCCACCGTGCATCCCTCGACTGTTCGGCGCCCTTCTGGCCTCTCAGCGCCCCTGGACCACATAGCGTTTTCAATCACTCGGCGCCTTTCTATGAGAATGGCGCCCCTTTTCATGGTCTCAAAGCGCCCTCGTAACCGTCTGGCGCCCCTATGTCCCCGCCAACTTAGCACTACTGACTGTTCGACACCCTTCTGGCCTCTCAGCGCCCCTGGACCACATAGCGTTTTCAATCACTCGGCGCCTTTCTATGAGAATGGCGCCCCTTTTCATGGTCTCACGGCGCCCTCGTAACCGTCTGGCGCCCCTATGTCCCCGCCAACTTAGCACTACTGACTGTTCGACACCCTTCTGGCCTCTCAGCGCCCATGGACCACATAGCGTTTTCAATCACTCGGCGCCCTTCTAGGAGAATTTTATGAGAGACCATGCCCTATTTTATGAGAGACCGTGAGACCTTGCCCTTTGCATGGTCTCACGGCGCCCTCGTAACCGTCTGGCGCCCCTACGTCCCCACCAACTTAGCATTACTGACGGTGCGGCGCCCTTCTGACCTCTCTGCGCCCCTGGGTAATATAGCATTTTTAATCACTTGACGCCCTTCTGGGAGAATGGCGCCCTTGTCATGATCTCTCGGCGCCCTTGTAACCTTCTGGCGCCCCTACGTCCCCTAAGCGTCCTGGCGCCCCTACAGCTGGGCACCCACAATCTTTTTGGGAAAATTACACCCCTGATAATGTACGTACACTTGTGATCGATCCTAATTGACACCTCTATGCCTCCTATCAGTCTCATCTCACATTTTGCCACCAATGGCATTTCCGGTTGAACAAAAGGCACATACATGCTCGGTAAATAACAGCGTCACAGACCAAGCAACAAGCGACCAAGCAACCACACGTTACCAAACCAACAGTCACACCACTTGCCGTGGACGATGCACGGACTCGGACTCACCGGACGGAGTCGCTGGCCCCCGCCCGCGCCGCCTCGCACCTCAGTGCGGCTATCTACGCGAAGCGGCGCCCCCTGACCACCGGCCAGTCCCGCGGGCCACCACCGGCGCGCGGCGGTTCGCGGGACGGTCCGGCGGCCCCCATATGGCGGCCCGGCCCACCCACTGCACAGCAGATGCTGGGGGGCCGGGCACGGGTTAGCCCGGATGGGGTAGGGCGGGGGCCACAAATCGCACGTAACGACCCCGCTCACGACACACACAGCCCAAGAGGGGCGAGACAGGCAGACGTGCGGGTGGGGGGGGGGGATTACAACCAGGCACTGAAGGTAAGGCCATTTGCCGTTCACAAACGTTCCGGATGTTTGTTAAGTTTTCGTCACATTCGTCTGCACGTTGCAGAAGCATGCATTAAAAAGCTGCCAATTGCGCTTCAAATGAAGGAAGAAACAAGGTTAAAAAAACATGCGAATTGGAAATGATACCTTCTGTACAGAATGCTTGCTTATAATAAATAGTAGTTTAGCTTAGTTTAGTTATGTATTGTTGGAGCTCATTTTCTTTGGAGAACTGTAAACCGGAGCATCCCCACGAGGTCAGTCGACAGGGGCCCATCATCGGCTGTTGCCTGTTCCTCGGGCCCGATGGCCTGAGCAAGGCCTTCTCAGCGGGCCCTTCCGTTTCTGGGGCCCGGCCAGGAAAAGCTGTTCCTGAGACTGAGCCGGAAGCGAATATCTGGGCCCGCTTTCTTGATACATTGTCGAGGCCGAGGACCCATTACTCAAGCTCAAAAGCCTGGTCCAAGGCCTTCTAAGCGGGCCCTTCCGCTTTCGGAGACCTCCCGGGCCCCGGATTGTCATTGGCTTGACCCGATCCGCTTTTGGGGCCCGGCCAGGGAGCACCGGCAAGGCCTCATGGGGCCCTTTTTGGACCCGAAAGCCTGGGCAAGACTTTCCCAGCGGGCCCTTCCACTTCTAGGGCCCGGACAGTCCCTGTGACTGGGCCTGGAAGAGGAGTTTTCGGATCCGCTTTTCATAACCTCTCCAGGGCCAATTAGCTCAAAAGCGGGACCTTCGCGCCCGGTAAGGGACCCGTTTGGGGCCCGGCAGGCGGCAGGGCCATAGGGGCCCTTCCTCAAGCCTGAAGGCTCGAACAAATTCTTCTGAACAGGCCCTTCCACTGTTTGGCCCTGCCGGCCCAAAACTGTCCCTGGTTTGGCCCAAAAGCGGGCCCTTCGGGCCCGCTCACGGGCTGCCTAGCGGGCCCTACCGGGCCCGCTTTTGGGGCCCGGCAGGGCCCAGGGGGGGAAGGGCGACCGCCCCCGTCGCCCCCCCCCCTTGGATACGTCCCTGATTTGACCTGACTTTTATCAGAAGAT